CGGTCGGTCCGTGTCGCCGAATAAGATCCCTCAGTCAACGGCGCAGCAACCTGTTTACAAGAAAGCACCCAAGGCCATGCATGAGCGTAAACGGGAACTGGAAGAGTTACTGCAGATCGGCATGAAGATGGATGAAGATCGTGCGCAGAGCAGTCAACGTGACGAAGCACCAAAAGGTCCTGCCCCTGTTGTGAACGTGAGGGCGCCCAAGCCGCCTCCTCCGGGCCTTGGCGAGTCAAGTGCATCGAGCAGCGTTAGCGGCATGAAGCCCCCGCCTCCGGAGCCCAAGAAGTTATCGGTCCAGCACATCCCGCCACCGCAGCCTCAAGCTGTTAACCGCACGAACGACCAGCTTGCGGCATGCTCTCGGAACATTGCCAGGGCTGTTTACCGCCCACTGTACCACGTCAACGTCCACATGCCCATGGTGAACGACAGGAGCGAGGACCACGACGTCAACTACAAGGCGGAACCCAATCCCAGGGAGGTAGTCGCATTAACGATGAAGACGCGCGACAACTGGCGCAGGTTTGAGGGCAACTTCGTCGGGCATGTGGCGAAGGCGGGATTAACGACTCCTGGCGGTCGGTCCATTCAGGGCAACACGGGGCGGGAGCTTAACGACTACGATGAAGTGTTCGTTGACATCTACGGCCAACATGCTTACGGTTTCATCGGCTACTCCGTGTTGAAGGGCCCGAGCAGCTGGAGATCTCAGTTGACGGAGAAAGAGTTGGCCAAGCACGACGAGTGGGTTGACGCAGTGGGGCACGTACAGTCCTTGTTTGACGACGAGTACGTGCCACCACTCCACGTTGACGATCTTCACTCATCGTGGTTTGACGTTCACAGTTGCCCAGACACGCAGGTGTACGTCAACAAGGTGCCGGAGATGAACGAGAAGCAGCTCAACGGCCTTCTCTTAACGTGGGCAGGGATGCTGCCCCACGGCAACCCCACTGTGGTCTCTGTTAAGCATCTGGTGGAAGACACTTATGGGCCGCATGGTTACATCTCGACTGGAGTTACCGTGATTCGGTTTGCGACACCTGACCTGGCCAAGCTCTATTGCCGTTACATGAACGGGCTCCAGGTGCATTACCGCAACTACTTCATCGAGGACCTCGAGGTCAGGAGCGCCGAGGAGTTAAAGGGCAGCATCAACAGGCCTCCAGTCTACTGGCACCAGACCATCCTAGATGTCGCCCTTAACGATCAGGGGTCCATGAGGGCACTTTACCGTGACAGTTGGCCTGCTGATCATATCACCGAGCGTAAAAGCGACCATCGTGAGAAGCTCTGCTGGTTTGGGTGGTTACCGTGCGACGACTTCCCCAACTGGCTCACCGATCCGACCTGGACTGTGAACCCGTTTACCGGCGCTGCAGTCGAGGAGCACCTCCGCAACAATCCAGGTGGTAAACCTTTGTTGAAGGCCCCCACGCCAGTTACTGGAGGGCCATCGGCACCTACCACAACATTGTTGACGGGTCCATCAAGAGCTTTGACGAGGGGTGCTGGCTCGATGACGAGGAGCGGATTAACGCGTACCTGGACGCCGACTATTGCAGCCCGACGCAGGCCCTTAACAGGGTGTCGTCCTACACAGCGGCCAGTGCGGGGCATCGTGGGTTACCGAGGTCCAGGGGCGCACGCGCCCCGTCAGTGAGGCGCCCGCGCCGCTCGTGAACGGCGACCAGTGAGCGGCATGCTGTTCTTTTACGCTCTCCCTCATCTCCCTTCTTAACTCGGCTTAACAATCGTGTTGCAGTGGCTTGTTGAGCTGAATCTGTGTGCATGTGCATCTTTTGTAGTTACCGCAGGTATTGGCGAATAAAAAGCGAAAGCAATCAAAACCATATAAATGCTAGCCTGTCGTGTAAGTTTTGGATGCTACGTTTAAACTTGCAATCGCAAGAACGTTTACTTGAGCTCATGTTGCATGTCTGAGAGACGTGGTGCTCGTAAACGTTGTCACGAGATCTTTCGAATTCGGCACTATAACGATTTGTGTGCAGCATGCTGCTTGGTTCAACCTGTCTTTGCGTTTAAAGACACCTCCCCGTCAGCCAGTACGGACTGGCGTCCGATGGGGGGGTGTTAACATGCAAGCGTTCAGGTGACTGGGGAGGAATAGTAACCCTGTTGCCTTTGGCTCAAGTGTTTAACGGCTGAAGCTACTGAGACTTGCTTTGCCGTTCGGGAGTATAAAGGTGACCGATCATTATCATTGTTGCCAGGCTCCCGTGCAGAACCCTCCTCGGGGTTTTGCAGGAGGAGGAGGAGGAGGAGGAGGAGGAGGAGGAGGAGGAGGAGGAGGAGGAGGAGGAGGTCGCGCGGCTCCCCGCTTCCAGAACATGTATAGCGGTGCCCGTTACTTCTCCCGGGGACCATCTTGGCCATTTTCGCGAGCTGCGTCGAGCCTTGGCGTCGAGAAGAGATCTCCGAGACGAGGGCGCCGTCGATCCCTGATCCTGTCGGACCCTGCGGAGGAACTGCGGATCACTTGTTGAAGCGCAACACGCGCCGTGCTCAAAGTGTCTGGCTTGAACGCGCTGCGTTTTGGCTGGGCACGTATTGCTCCTTTTTTGGCGATGGTGTCGCGCCATATCCGCGTGTGTTCAATCTGCGTGCTGAGCTCCGTGTCAGCACGCTGCGCGTTGCTCATTGCGCATCGGGGTCCCCCTGTCTGCACGAGCTTCCGCCCAAGATCCTGACCCCTGGTGGTCCCAAAAGGCTCCCGAGCGCCCTCTCCTAAAACGGGCCGAAAGCGCCATAGTCCTTTTCGTTTAACGTTTTAGAGCCTCCCCACTCGATCCTCGACGGTCGAGGGCAGAGCTTGGCAGAAAGTATTCTGCCGAGGCCTCCGCGTCCTTCTGGAAGCCTCCGCAGGCCTATCATGGAAACGTCAGGAACGCTCAATTTCGAGCCTCCAGTCTCCATCTTCGAACCTCGATCCTCGATCCCTGCTCCTTGAGCCTCGACATTCGAACCTCAATCCTCGACCATCGCGCATCAACCCTGGATACCGCGATCCCCGATCCCCGATCCTCGCTCCCCGTATACATCGAATACCTCGATCCCCGAGCCTCCCTTCCCTCGATCCCCTCGGTATCCCGCAGGGGTGCCGCCGGTCCCGGTCTGCTTGGGTATCCGCCCCGGATACCGACACCCGCAGCTTTCTGGAGCCCCCTGGAGGCGTCTCGAGGCCCCGAAGCCCAAGAGCACCGATCCTCGATCCCCGATTCCCAGTCCTCGGTTCTCGAGCCTCCTTCCTTGAACAGGAGGGGGAGGAGGAGGAGGAGGAGGAGGAGGAGGAGGAGGAGGAGGAGGAGGAGGAGGAGGAGGAGGAGGAGGAGGGGGAGGATGAGATAAAGGGTAGGAAGATCAAGAGAAGGGGGGAGGTGACGAGGAGAGGAGGAGGAGGAGGAGGAGGATGAGGAGGAGGGGAGGAGGAGGAGGAGGAGGAGGAGGGAGGGGAGGAGGAGGGGGAGGGGAGGGAGGAGGAGGAGAGGAGGAAGAGAAGGACGGGGAGGAGGAGGAGAAGGAGGAGGAGGAGGATGAGGGAGGAGGAGGAGCGAGGAGAGGAGGAGAGGAGGAGGAGTAGAGGAGGAGGAGGAGGAGGGAGGAGGAGGAGGAGGAGGAGGAGGAGGAGGAGGAGCAGGAGGAAGGGCCAGTGTAAACCCAAGACTCACCGACGAGCTTCCTCTTCATAGGCTCCGCCGTGGATTCGCTGTCACTGAGGAGAAGTGCCTCGTTGGAAGACAACTGTTTGAAAATCCAGGACTGTACCAGAACGCCATTCCTGGGACATCAACGCCGCGAATCACCGTTCCTGTTGCGTCTTGACGATCCTGGATCGTGCCAGAACACCATTCCTGGGATACACCGTGAATCAACGTGACTGTTGCGCTCTGGCATTCCGACATCGTGCCCAAACACCGTTTCTGGGACTTTGACCGTGAGAATCTTTGAAATTGGTGCAAACTCTTCAGACGAATGTGCGCAGCGCGAGAGCGAGAACCGCATTTTGAATTGGAGCCGCCCTCCCTCCGTGCTCCTGCAGACTTTTATGACGAGTTTGCGCGGCGCCACGGCGAGACCCACATTTTGGAAACGGACTGCCCTCCATCCGTGAAGCTCCTGCAAAGTTTCAAGACGCATGTGCGCGTCGCTGTGGCGAGAGCCACATTTAAGACGCATGTGCGCGGCGCTGCATCGAGAGCCACATTTTGAAAGCGGGCCGCCCTCCATCCGTGAAACCGTTGCAAATCTGCAGCGTCAGGATCATAAGTTGTGAAGAAGTCTCCGTCGAAACGCCTGGCCCGCCCTTTCGACCGGCCTCGGGCGGGGTGCGAAAGGGAGGAGTTATACAAGGAAGCGAGGAGAAGGAGGAGGAGGAGGGAGGAGGATGAGGACGAGGAGGAGGAGGAGGAGGAGGCGGAGGAGGAGGGGGAGAAGGAGGAGGAGGAGGAGGAGGAGGAGGAGGAGGAGGAGGAGTCGACCCCCTACACCCTCGATACCCCTGCAGGGGAGGTACCGATCCTCGATGCTCGCTCCTCGATCAACTTGTCGATGCCTCGATCCTCGCCCCTCGCTCCTCGAGCCCCAACCCTCGATACCTCGATCGCAGATAAGTTCGAACCCCTGCCGTTCGCTCCGCCTCCTCCGTCGTTGCGTTTTTGTTCGTGACTCCGTCCCCTAGCGATCTCGAGCAATTGACCCTCTGAGTCTTCGGTTGGCGGCCCCGGGGCCTGGGAGCGGACCCCGGAGGCCGACACCGCCGCCGGCGAACAGCTGGCCGTTGCGCTTTTCCCTGCAAGCGTCGAGAGCTGAGAGCTCTTCGATCGTTTCGATGGCCCCCCTCCCCCCTCCCTCCTCCCCCTCCTCCTCCTCCTCCTCCTCCTCCTCCTCCTCCTCCTCGTCCTCCTCCTCCTCCTCCTTCTCGTCCTCCTCCTCCTCCTCCTCCTCCTCCTCCTCCTCCTCCTCCTCCTTGCAAG